CCCAATCTTTCTACTGCATCAGCCTTCCCCACTGATGGTTACAAGGACCCGAGTTGTGATGAGCAAGAGGACTCAGCAGGTTGACTGGGGCTGGACCCCAAACAATCTTGCTCTATTGTAGGAAGATGAGGGCAAGAATCCTTGGCTTCAGCTCTAGCTTGCCAATTACCCAGTTGGCCAGCTATGGGTTTTATCTGCATATCTCAGGCAGAGGATGCAGATTGCCAGAATGGGTGTCACAAAGGGATGGCTGGTTTAAAATTTTGTGAATATTCAGTGCCTCATAAATATCTGGTGTTTCATGTGTCTTGTGTCTACTTGGTCTGTCCATTCCATCCCTTCGTACATCAGCAAAATCTGCTCTACCTACCAAGGTATAACATGTCTTACACGCTACTTCCTTCTACACTTAATTTCATCTAGTCTCCATATTTGTTTCCTTCTCTTACTTTCTGTAGCAGACTTTAACATTCATAAAGAATACAGCGGCCGGGCGCGGTGGCTCAAGCCTGTAATCCCAGCACTTTGGGAGGCCGACACGGGCAGATCACGAGGTCAGGAGATCGAGATCATCCTGGCTAACGGTGAAACCCCGTCTCTACTAAAAAAAATACAAAAAACTAGCCGGGCGAGGTGGCGGGCGCCTGTAGTCCCAGCTACTTGGGAGGCTGAGGCAGGAGAATGGCGTAAACCCGGGAGGCGGAGCTTGCAGTGAGCTGAGATCCGGCCACTGCACTCCAGCCTGGGCGACAGAGTGAGACTCCGTCTCAAAAAAAAAAAAAAAGAATACAGCAAACACACCTTACAAGGATGCACTTGAAGTTGGAAGACCCTCTTCCAACTTGAAGAGGCTCCCGATGGCCAAAGATGAGATAATTTGAGAATCAATAAGAATAACAATGATGAGGTTTGAAACATATCAAATGTTTTTAATGCTGTTTAGCTTTCAATTTAAAGTGAGAGGCGTGTTAACTACCTTTCACTTGAACACTTAGAGGCCGTTGTAGGGTTTAATTGACCTAATTTCAATATCATGTGTCTCAGAGAATCGGGAGGCCTGTGAAGAGGGAGAGAGACTGGGGAATGGCCAGTCATTATGTCACAATGTCATTATGCATTATAACACTAAAAACAAAAAACTCTCATTGCTAATCATTGGAAGATGCTAGTGAACCAATGCATGTGCTCAAAATTGATCTTTTCTATATGAACGATCCCAGTGAGTAGTCACTTAGTAGATGAGGGAGTTTCTCTTTCTAGAAATAGTCTAGTTAATAAATAAAGTAGGGATGATATAATTAGAAGATCATCACTTTGCACACCAAATGAATGAATGGATCTGGGCACTGAGCATCAAAGGCTACTGACATCAAACACACAAAAGAGACAACCACATACTATATTCCTCCTGAAGGAAGACCACAACACTGCCTGTGAGGTAGTCTTGCTTTAAAAAAGTCAGATTTCAATCTGATTGAGTCGTAGTTCAGTCCACATCAATAGTTTTCAAGGAGTGGTCAGCATTAATCACACAGGAAGTTGCCGGAAATGCATACTTTTGGGACTTTCCTAGACCAGAATCCGAAACTCTGAAGATGGGGCCCAGCAACCTGTTGTAACAAATTGTTCAGGTGATTCTGATGCTCACTAAAAATGGAAAACTACTGCTTTAAATACAATACTAATTTATATGAAATACAGAGGAACATATTAAACAACACCCTGGTGATGCAGGCAAAAAAAAAAAAAAAAATACATCCTGTGGGAAACCATCAGACAAATGACTCAGTTTATTTAAATGTAAATTGCAAGGAAATAAAAAATAATAAGGAATAATAATAAAAGATAATAAGGAACCCATAGATTAAGAGAGATCTAGGAAACATAAAGACCAATTGCAAATTTTAGACTTTATTTGGACCTTAATTCAAATAAACAAATTGTAAAAACATGTTATAACATTTATGAGATAACTAGAAATTGTAACACTGGTTATTTGATATTTAGGAAATGTTAATTCTCTTAGACTATGATAATGGAGACTGGGTGTGGTGGCTCAGGCCAGTATTCCCAGTGCTTTAGGAGGGAGAGGCAGGAGGATTGCTTGAGGCCAAGAGTTCAAGACCAGCCTGGGCAACATAGACAGACTGTCTCTACTATGAGATTTAAAAAAAAATTAGCCAGGGATGGTGGTGCACTCCTGCGGTCCCAGCTACTTGGGAGGCTGAGGCAAGATAATTGATTGCACCACTGTACTCCAGCCTGGGTGACAGAGCATGACTCTGTCTCTAAAAAAATAAAATAAAATAAAATAAAATATGATAATGGTGTTTAAGTATTTAAATAATTAAATGGGGGGCCATTAGGCTGAGGTGGCTGTAACTAAGTTCCCACTAAGCAAGCTAAAACCTAACTCAGTTTCATTTCCCGTAAGCAGTTAATTTAAAAGAAACTTAGCCAATCACAGAAGGCCAACTGGGCATTAGTTATATTGTCTTTAACTTCCTATTGGATAGTTCAAATAAGGCAATTACTGAAAGTTTAACCAATCAAATAATTTCTTTGCTCAGCTTCTGCATTTACCCTATTAGAGCCTTCCCCTCTTGCTCCGTCCTCAAAGCCCAAACCATTTCCAGTTTGGAGCAGCCCGATCAATGAATTGCTGTTTGCTCAAATAAATTCTTCAAAGTTTCAACGTGTGTCAAAGTTTATCTTTTAACAGAAGGTATATTTATGGGCAAAATGATATGGTATCTTCCATTTGCTTCAAAATAATATAGGGTGGGTGGATAAAGACACAAATGAAAAAAAAGTTGACCATGGGTTGCTGATAATAAGGGATAGAACTGCCAAATTGAGCCCTAATTTTTCCATTTATTTTCTAGCCAGAGTGAGCTGAGTAGCTGGGTAACCTGCTTCATCTCTGTCATCCTCATTTTCCTCATCTAAAGAAGATGAGGAAAATTGGGTAAAATAGAATAGTGAGAATTAAATGATACAATGTATTCAAATGCTTTGCAAAGAGCTTTGCAGATGGAAGGTTCTATTATCAGGGGTGTGACTTCCATGAAGCTAAATATGGCATCTTCATATATTTTTTCAGCACAGTGTTGGACATATAACAGGTGCTCTATAATTATTCAGTGTCAGTTTTTAAATTCAATTTAAGTATTATTTGGTAGATGAATGAATGGGTGTATTCCAAATCCTAGGTTTCAGCCCAACATAGTGCCATTCTTGATCATTAACTTAGTAATTCAAACATATAAAGAGTGAATAAAAGTACACATTCTAACAATTAGTATTTAATTAGTGTTTATTATTTAATCAACATTATCAATTAGCTTTAATTTAATCATGTTCAAATAGAATCTATTATAATACAGATTACATTTGCTCCTTTCCTTTTATGGTTGCTCCCAGGCTGAAAACAGAGGAAGGTGGGAAGCCCTTGTTCAGTGTAGATATCCCAGTCTTAGAGATTATCTTCACTTAGATATAAAGATAAGCCAGTTAAAGCTGGGACTGAGTTTTAGGTTGCCACTCCACTTCTTTAGTAAACTTCTTTAGGTTCCAACAGAGGGAGCTCCATACTGCTTAGCATCACTGCAGTGTGGGGCACACAGATGCTTCAGTAAGAACGCATTCACTCATCCAGCAAGTGAGTATCGAGCATCTACTATGTGCCTAACAGGTGTTGGGGATACAGAGACATGAATCCTGCCCTGAAGGGATTCAGTCTACAGTAGAGGCAGACGTGTAAACAAGTAATGACCACACAGTGCAGCAAGGGCTATAATAAAGGTGTCCCAAGGTGCTAAGGGAACTATTAACTCCAGGTCCAGGGGACAGGGAAGGCTTCATGGAATGTGAGCTTAATTTTGAAAGGCAAATAAGAGTTGATCAGCTGGATAAAGTAGACAGAACATATGTACAAATACATATGTGGAGGTAAGAACAAGCATGTTATTAGTTTGCCATAGTGATGAATAAGGCTTAAGGAGCCTGGAAAATGGGGAAAGAGGGGCTGGTTAGTTGACAGGGGCAGATCATGAAAGGCCTTAATCTGTGAATTAAGAAGAGCCAGTTAATGTATACATCCAGCTCAATAAGATAAGAGACCTTAAAGTAAATGGAAAATTATACCTTTATTATACTTCTGCACAAAACAGTTTTTAAAGAGTTTTGTTGTTGTTGTTGTTGTTGTTGTTTGTTTTGTTTTTTTTTGAGACAGTCTTACTCTGTTGCCCAGGCTGGAGTGCAGTGGCATGATCTCGGCTCACTGTAACCTCCGTCTCCCGGGTTCAAGCAATTCTCCTGTGTCAGCCTCCTGAGTAGCTGGGACTACAGGTGTGCACCACCAAGCCCAGCTAATTTTTGTATTTTTAGTAGAGACAGGGTTTCACCATGTTGGCCAGGATGGCCTTGATCTCCTGATCTAATGCTCTGCCCACCTCGGCCTCCCAAAGTGCTGGGATTACAGGTATGAGCCATCAATCCTGGCCTAAAGAGCTTTTAAAGATAATTTTGTCTTTTAAAGAATCTTCAGGGGCCATTTATGCACTTCACAAGTCATCATATTTATGATTTTATACTCAGTGCCTAGTTTGGTCATTCACTTTCTCCCTTTCTTTGGATTTGATCTACATGACTTTTAAATGTGTCCAAAAATCAAGCCCATTCTCAAAAGCATGAAGATTTGCCATCATTAAAAATCTCAAGGCTGGGTGCAGTGGCTCATGTCTGTAATTCTAGCACTTTGGGAGGCTGTGGTGGATGGATCACTTGAGGTCAAGAGTTCGAGACTAGGCTGGCTAACATGGTGAAATCCTGTCTCTTCTAAAAATACAAATAAAGTACAGAATTAAGCAGGCATGGTGGCACGTGCCTGTAGTCCCAGCTACTAGGGAGGCTGAGGTGGGAGAATCGCTTGAGCCCAGGAGGCAGAGGTTGCAGCGAGCCGAGACTGCGCTACTGCACTCCAGCCTGCGCAACAGAGCAAGACCCTGGTTTAAAAAAAAAAAAAAATCGAAAAATATTATGATTCAAACTCCTAGGGCAATTCTTAAAATGTTCTAGAAATTTTTGGAATAATGTCAGCATCATTAGAATAAAAGCTTGTACCCAAGGTAACAATTTTAAATGACAATTTTTCTTTGGCTTTAAAAGCCTCCTTTCCTCTTGGTTACTGCTAATGTAGCTCAGCAGATATTGACACTCAAGAGAGCATGTAACATTGGAACAAACTGCAAGAAAACAGCGATGTTGCTGGGACTTTTTCCTGAGTCTTCCAAAGCTAAGGGTGGACCCCTCACTGAGCTAGGCAGGAAGGCCTTCCCTCTTTACCTCTGACTCACCTGAGAAGACTCACACCCTGTCTGCCTGGACAAGCAGCTGGCTGCCCTTTCTACCCAGAAAGGCTTCTCAACAGACAAGTCCAACCTGCTTGTTCTCTTGAAGCTTCAGGCCTCAATGGGAAATGGAGGGGAAGGTAGAAAGGCTGAAACGCCTTAGCTAACTCAGCACCTTTGCTGCTTTTCAGCATTTGGCAGATCTATGATGATGACTCCTGCCATACAATTTGCAACACCTGCACTGTTCTATAACCTGTCCAGTGAGTCCTCTGATCACAGCCTTGGATGTTATGGCAATGTCAAATTGCTTGTAATAACTTTAAATACTTACTCTCAGGTTTTGTATTTATCTCCTTAAGGACCAGTGACAGTTTCCAGGTAGTCTGCAGGCTACACTTTGAGATGCATTGTCCCAATTTTTTTCAGTGAACAGAAAGTTCTGGAAAGATGAATAGGTAAGGTGTAAAAGAATTTGGTCCCATGTTAGCATATTGAAAGCCCTGAGGAGTACTGTAGCTAAAACCAAACCAAAACTAAATTCTGTTTCATTAGTTTAACCTAGCGTTTTCCCTTACGTACAGAATCTTTTGTGTTGTTCAATACCTACTGATATCTTGAGGAGTAGTGTCTTGTCCAGATGCCAATCTAGGAGATGTGAGTGTAATAGGTCTGCAAGTCTTCTTGCAATTCTGAGTTTTAAACAGGCAAACTCTTCCCGTTGCTTGAGTTATTGATTCCATACTCCTCCCTGCTTACGACATTATCTCAAACAAAATGTGTCTGCTGCCCTCTTTTCTCCCCTGAGATGGCTGTTGTGAAAAGAGCAAAGAACAAGAGGTGGAGTTACAGCAAGTCAAGGACCCCGGACAGAAAGTTGCTGAGGCTGAGGCCAGGGAAAACAAGAATTACTGGTGGGGATTACAAGTCAGGTCTTGCCATGAGCTTCTAAGCTTCCACTTGCTGATATTCAAGTAGGCTACTTGCAAGATCAGCTTTCCTCCAAAAAGCTGATGTCTGTTTTCAAACGTAAGCTCACTGTCTCAGTGGTGTTGATGGATCAAAATGTTTAATGGTGTTGGAGGAGGTGGAGCCTTTTTCCACTCTGCCGGGCACAGTGTACCTCTTGCGGAGACTCCACCCAGCCTTCAGATTTTCCTCTACCCCTCTTCCTATTCTGATTCAGTGAGTGCTCCATGCAACCACTTTTGCATACCTATGCTTAAATCCTTATATGTGTACAAAACCCATTAATAACACCTATTATTTTTAGAAAAAAGCTAAAACTTCTTTAGCATTACTGACAAGTCTCTGTTGCTTTTCTCTTTCACACTTATTTAAAATTCCCATCACTTCTTAGAATTTCCCTGACATCATCAGACTTCAATGAAAAACCCTTGGACGAAACCGCAGACAAACGACTCTCACCTTCAACAGCTCCCTTCATGCTGCTCTGCCTCTTCTGTCTTAAGCTTGTTTTGTGGAGGAAGGATCATGGAGTTTGGAATTAAAGCCCAGTTGTACTACTTCCCAGCTATGTGAACTTGGGCAAGTCGCTAAATGTCCTAGTGTCATTTTCCTCATCTGTGAAATGAGAAGATTAATAAAGACTTTCTAAGGTTGTTGTGAGATGTAAAGATATTAAAAGAAAATTACTGCCTGGGTGCGGTGGCTTGCGCCTGTAATCCCAGCACTTGGGGAGGCCAAGGTGGGAGGATTGCTTGAGCCCAGGAGTTCAAGACCAGCCTGGGCAGCATGGCAAGATCCCATTTCTACAAAGAATACAAGTGTGGACATCGTGGCACATGCCTGTGGTCCCAGCTACTTGAGTGGCTGAGGCAGGAGGATCGCTTGAGCCCAGGAGGTGGAGGCTGCAGTGAGCTGTGATCGAGCCACAGCACTCCAGCCTGGGTGACAGAGTGAGACTCTGTCTCAAAAATAAAAAAAAAGAAAGAAAATTATTTAACAAATGGTAGTTATTGCGATTCCCACAAGCTGGCCTCTGACTTGAAGCTCCTGTATGAGCCATGCTATTTCACCATAACCCAGCCCCCCTGTTCTTTCGTCAACTGGTCTTGGCTAAAGGATGCCATGTATGGTTAGCCTTTTCAGGGACAGCTTCCCTTGTGCTTCCAGGCAGAGCTTGTTCTTCCTGTGCTATCATTTGAATGTGGCATTTCCTTTATTATTGACGTCACCCTGTATTGTGACTAATTTTTTTTTTTCTTTAACCTGAGAACTCCTTGAGGGCTAAGATCTTATCATTTTCACCCTTGAACTCCTGAAGATGGTGCCTGACACTTGGTAGTTGCTCAAAACTTTTTTTTTTTAAAAGTAATAGAAGGCAAATGGAAGAGGCAAATGGAACAAAATGAGATTTTGCACAATCCTAACCTCATTGTAGACAAAAATTCCAAGTATTTTCCCATCGACTTTTTCCTTCAGGAGAGATGCTGAGAAAAGGATACCTACTGTTTATTTCATTTGCTTTTGCTTCAAAAGTCTTCCAGAATCGTGGAGGTACAGTTTTGGGGAGAGAAGGAAGGTACTACTGGTCAGAGTGGTTGGTACATACAACTGAGAGTTGACTGTTGACGTGTTTGGTCGATTCTAATGAGGAAGGGAGACTGATGTTGAAGAAGGAGTTAAAGTTGTCTCTGGAGTTGACCTGTGAGTTAGGCAGGTCTTGTTGTGAGTCTGACTGTATCACTAGCTGGGTGACCTTGGTTACACTACTTGATCGCTAAGTCTCAGCCTTAGGCCAATTTCCTCTCTTATTCCTGTCAAAAATCCGTTGGATCACCTCTGTCTTCAAGATTTCTGCCTCTCCATCTCCTCTACTCTAGGACAGTGACTTTCCTTCTCTATTACACAAGGAAAGTCGAGATCACTGGATGATAACTCCCTTACAGAGGAGAAAAAACTCGGTAAAATCACACACACACACACACACACACACACACACACACGCACACACCCAGCTCAAAAACTCCTTCAACTTTCTGTCCCAATCCTTTTACCTTCAAAGTTAACTGTACCTGTGCCCCATCTGGGGGCTCCCCTTTATCTAGATTGACCATATAAATTTTCTTCCAAACTGTAACACCACAGCATAAAAGGTGTACAGTTAATTATTACAGTGGAATAAGAGGTATGAGCCAGGGCTGATTTAAGCAGCCAGAACATTCTTTACCTTTTCTTAACAATGCAAGAGATACACTTCCTCGTGTCTTTGGCCTCAGTCCTAAAAGCATTTTAACATGCTAAAGTTAAAACCAACAAATCAATCAAGATCTGAAAACTTCTTTCTACTCCTATTTCTTTCCAGCTGCCTCTGTCTCTGCCCCCTTTATAAGCTCTGTCCTTTGAAGAGTAAACTACATCCTAGTCTACCATGATTCCTCAATCTACTGCAAAATGGGCTCTGCTTCACAACTTTTCTGATGAAACTGCTTCCACCAAAATCACCAACTGGGGAATCTTGTAGACATTTTCAGTCCTTGTTTTATTTGACTTTAGCAGCATTTGATATTTTGTGTATTCGCTCTTTTTATTTATTGATTTTTTTAGACGGAGTCTTGCTCTGTCACCAGGCTGGAGCACAGTGGTGTGATCTTGGCTCACTGCAACTTCCACCTCCTGGGTTCAAGCAATTCTTCTGCCTCAGCCTCCCGAGTAGCTGGGACTACAGGCATGTGCCACCACATCCAGCTAATTTTTGTATTTTTAGTAGAGCCGGGGTTTCACCAGGTGGGCCAGACCTCATGATCTGCCCGCCTTGGCCTCGAAAAGTGCTACGAGTACAGGTGTGAACCACCGTGCCTGGCCCCAATATTTGCTCATTATTTAAATATCTTTCTCTCTTGGCTTCTGTGACCACTCTCTCCTAGTAATTCTCTCTCCCTTTCTTCTGGACACACTTGTTCAGTGACTTTAGACATCTCCTCTTCCCCTTGTCCCTTAGGTATTTTTCAACCTCTAGATTCTGTCCTTTCCCACTCTACTGTGGTCTTGGGCCGTCTCATCCATTCCCATTCTCACAATTACCTTCTAGAAGGGCGAAAGACCTCAAACTGGCCTCTCCAGTCCGGAACTCTCTGTAGAGCTCAGATCTGTGTTGGGTACTACTGTCAAAAGAAAAAATTACCACAGATTTAGCTTAAATATTGAATTGGTTTTTATTTGCAATTCTAGAAAAGGGCAACACCTCATTCTGTAAAACTGAATGACTGTTCTGATGAGCTGAGCACAGGGGGTTGGCTTTATAGGTAGAAAGAGGCTGAAGAAAGCAGATACAGGGAACAAAAAGTGGATGAGCAGTTTTTTTTGCTTGCTTTTGAGACAGGTTCTTGCTCTGATGGCCACACTGGAGTGCAGTGGCATGATTATAGCTGACTGTAGCCCCGAATTCCTGGCCTCAAGCAATCCTCCTGCTTCAACCTCCGAAAGTGCTGGGATTACAGGCATGAGCCACTGCACCCAGCCTGTGGGTGGTTTGGAAGTGACTTTCTTTCTCAGGCTAAAACAGAGGGGACTTCTGGCTGGGCGCAGTGGTTCATGCCTATAATCCCAGCACTTTGGGAGACCAAGGCAGGTGGATCACCTGATATTAGGAGTTCGAGACCAGCCTGGCTAACATGGTGAAACACTGTGTCTACTAAAAATACACAAATTAGCCAGGCATGGTGGTACACACCTGCAATCCCAGCTGCTCAGGAGGCTGAGGCAGGAGAGTTGCTTGAACCCGGGAGATGGAGGTTGCAGTGAGCCGAGATTGTACTACTGCATTTCAGCCTGGGCAACAAGAGTGAAACTCCATCTAAAACAAACAAACAAACAAACAAAACAAAACAAAACAAAAAAACCACAAAACAAAAAACAGGCCGGGCTCGGTGGCTCATGCCTATAAACCCAGCACTTTGGGAGGCTGAGGTGGGCGGATCACCTGAAGTCGGGAGTTTGAAACCAGCCTGACCAACATGGAGAAACCCCGTCTCTACTAAAAATACAAAATTAGCTGGGCATGGTGGTGCATGCCTGTAATCCCAGCTACTCAGGAGGCTGAGACAGGAGAATCACTTGAACCCTGAGGCGGAGGTTGTGGTGAGCCGAGATTATGCCATTGCACTCCAACCTGGGCAACAAGAGTGAGACTCCATCTCAAAGAAACAAAAAACAAAACACACACACACACACAAAACACCAAAAAACGAAACAAAACAAAACAAACACAGAAGAGACTTCCTTATCATATCAGCTCAGGTGCGCTGGCCCCTTTTGATTGGTTACTGTCAATCTTCTGTTTGTTTTACACTGGCCCATTTCAGAGTTCAGTTTGATAACATGTCACCTACCATGAGTGGCTCTATTCTGGTTTGGTCTGGTGTGCTGGGACCTAGTGCAGGAGGCTAGTCCAAAATAATGGGCTCCCATAAACTTCATTTAATAGTGCTGTACTAAACATCTCTGCTTGGCTGTCCCATAGAAACATCAAATGCAACAACTCTTCATCTTCTCTGTTTCAGAGAAAGGCAGTCACGTTCCACCCAGTGACCTAGGCTCAAAACTCGAGAATTATCCTCCAATACTTCATATCCCTTCTGTCCACTTCTAATCATGTACCAATTCCCTTCCTTTCCATCTCCTTGACAGCTCTCAAACTCTTAACTTCTCTCAATTCCCTCTGCCCCTGTTTCAGCTCGGGTCAAATAATCTCTTGCCTGGGTTCCTGGAAGCCTCTTCCCTGGCCTTGTTCCTTTCCAGTGCCTTTGTCCATACTGTAACTGAGCGATCTTTTAAATTCACAAATCTGATCAAATCACTTTCTGCTTAAACAGTTTCAATGTCTCCTCATTGCCCTCAGGATAAAGCCCTAACTCCTTAACTCTTATCAAGGGCCTTTTTGGTCTGGCCCCTGATGACATTTTCAGCCTCATCTCTGAGGGTCATTCCCTTTTCTTTTTTCCCTTCTCTCTCCACTCACACTCAAGTTTTTTAGTTGCCAAAAAAGCCACGTTTTTTCTTCTTTCTTGGGCTTTGTACCTACTTTTACCCCTACCTGGGCTCACCTCTCAAATGCCACCTCCCATTGCCTACCTTGTATGTATCTTCAGAACTGAAGAATTATAATAGTAATTGCAATAATAGATAATGTTAATTGAGTGCCATTATGTGCTAAGTCATTTATTTGCACTCTTATTCAATCCTCACAACCGCCCCATGAGGAAGGCCTCATTATCCTCATTGAATGGTTGAAGAGACTGAGATCCAGATACCCACACATCAGTCAGAGTGATCATTTTAAACACGAGTCAGAACATTTTACTTTTCATTTCATAAGCTTTCTCTTTTTTTGTGTGTTGTAGTAAAAATACATAACAAAAAATTTACCATTTTAACCACTTTTAAGTGTACAGTTCAGTGGCATTAAGTCCGTTCACATTCTTGTGCAACCATCATTACCGTCCATCTCCAGAACTTTTACATCTCCCCAAGTGGAAACTATGTACCCATCAAACAATAACTCCCCATTTCCCTCTTCCTCTAGACCCTGGCGACCACCATTCTACTTTCTGTCTCTATGGGTTTGACTATTCTTGATGCTCCCATATAAGTAGAATCATTCAATATCTGTCCTTTTGTGACTGGCTTATTTCATTTAGCATAATAACCTTCAGAATTCATCCATGTGGAAATACGTGTCAAAATTTTATTCATTCTAAGGCTGAAAATATCGCATTGTATGTATATGTCACATTTTGCTTATCCATTCTTACTTTGATGGTCACGTGAGTTATTTTCATCCTTTGGCTATTGTGATCAATGCTGCTTTGAACGTCAATGTCCAACTGTCTGTTTGAGTACTGACTTTTAATTCTTTTGGGTACATGCCAGAAGTGGAATTCTGGGTCATATGGTAATTCTATGTTTAATTTTTTAGGAACTGTAATACTATTTTTCACAGTGACTGCACTCTTTTATATTCCCACTAGCAATACACAAAGATTCCAATTTCTCCACATTCTTGCCAACACTTACTCTATTTTCTGTCTTCTTTTTGGTAATAGTCATCCTAGTGGATGTGATAATAGCATTCTAATGGACTGTGGTTTTGATTTATATTTTCCTGATGTTTAGTGATGTTCAGTATCTTCTCCTGTGCCTACTGGCCATTTTATCTTTTTGAAGAAATGTCTATTCCAGTCCTTTGCTCATTTTTTAATGGGGTTGTTGGTTGCTGTTGTTGTTATTGAGTTGCAGGAATTCTTTGTGCATTCCAAACATTAATCCTTTAGCAGAAATTGATTTGCAAATATGAAATATTTTCTCCCTTTCCAGAGATTGTCTTTCATAACCCTTTAATGGCTGCCCTGTATCCCTGGTGGTCTGGTCTGCCCTGTACCCCTCCATCCTTAGCCCCTCACCACTGCCCCTTCACTCTGCTCCAGCCACAATGGTCTCCTTGTTTTTCTTCAAATACTCCACACGTGCTTCTGCCTTAGGTCCTGTGCTTACTATTTCCTCTGCTGGAATGTCCTTCTTCCCGATCCACATGGTTCACTACCTCACTTCATTCAGATGTTTCTTAAGTTTCATCTTATCAGAGAGGTCTTCCCTGACTACCCCTTTCCCCTTTGTTCACTACTTTATTCCTTGTGTGCCCAGGAAAATGCCTGACGTGTCATAGGTACCCAAAACATGTTTCTTAAATGAATGAATGAATAAATGATGTAGACCTTTGATTCACACCTATGTTTCTCTGACCCTAGAGCCTGTAGCTGCTAGCCAGCTACACTGGATGGTTCCTGTTTTGGGAAGCCTTCCCAAGGCCTCCAAGGCTGGCTGAAGGACCCTGGCCTCTGTGTTTCTCTGATCACAACTCATTTGTCACATTGCATTGCAATTGTCTACTTATTTGACTGTGTTTCCCAAGATATAGTTAGCAACTTGAGGGTACACACTAATTTCTTGTTTGGCATCTAGCACAATTTCTAGCAACAGGGCTCAATAGGTATTAGAATGAATCAATCTCTCTGAGTCTCAATTCCTCATCTATAAAATGGAGACATCTATGTATCGTCTTACAGTTATGGAGATCAGAACTAATATATGCAATATGCCTACCACAGTGCCGGGTACATAGTAGGCGCTTGAAAAATAGTAATTTAAAATCATTAAGGGTAATTTTTATTTGTTAAAATCTACCAGTATTCTAAGGTATGTCTAGATTAGAATGATAAAATGTAATGATTCTCCAACACTTTATTACTGAATTTGTGTTGTCATTTACTTAATGCTGAAGAAACTTGGTGAATGTGGGAGCAAATTTCCCCTCAACATTTTATTATGAAAAATTTCAAACATGCAGAAAAATTTAAAGAATTATACAGTAAATACCTGTGTATCCCACCTAGGTTCTTCAATTGACATTTTACTATGCTTGATCACATATCCATCCATCCATCCATCCATCCACCCACCCACCCACCCATCCTTCCTTCCATTCATCCATTTATCAATGAGTCTTATTTTTTTATGCATTTTAAAATTAAATTGCAGACATCAGGATGCTTCCCTGTAAATACTTCAGCACTAATGAGAGTTTAGAATTTGTTTACAATTCTTTTTAAAAAATTACTGAAGTAAAACTTACATTCAATGAAATGTACAAGTCTTAAGAGTATACCATTCAAAGAGTTTTGGCAAGTGCGTAACTCAAACCCCTGTCAAGATGCAGAACATTAATATCACTCTAGAATGTTCTCTCATGCCCCTCCAGTCAATCCCTGTCCCCATTCCCCCAGAGGCAAACGCTACTTTTATACTGGTTTTTATGACAAGGTAGTTTTGCCAGTTCCAGAACTTCATATAAATGGAATCAAAGAGTTTATACTGTTTTGTGTCTGGCTAATTTGCTGAACTTACTTTTGAGGTTCATTGTGGTGATATGTATCAGTGATTTGTTCCTTTTTATTGCTGAGTAGGATTCACGATATGAATATTCTACAGAGGATCCATTTTTCTGTTGATGGACCCCTGGGCTGTTCCAGTTTTGGGCTACTATGAATAAAGCTTCCATGATTATTCTCCTACAAATATATTTCTGTATATATAATTTCATTCATCT